CGGTCCAAACGTACTATCACAGCCCAGTACAGATACGAACTCACCGTAATGAGACGTGGAATGCATCTTGTTGCCCGTAAACCTTCGTAAGCAGTCCGAAAACGACTATTTGAAACACATTCACAGTTGGGCGAGGTTCTCATGTGATGCGATTTATCCACATTTAAACTATGCGCCACGGTTTCGGAGAAACAGATTTAGATCGTGTATCGTTTCACCAGAGAACTTCGAAAACAGGATTTTCGTAGGCAAGCACAAATACGTTTAAATTATGCGATATCCTGATAATGCATGAAAAACTCACTCTCGATAGAGTAACCCCTCCGAAATCTGAGACCAACGTCGATCCGATAGCACATCCTCATCGCAACTCGAAACAAGAATTCAACCAAAATGCCGGGTGTACTTGGCGGGGTGGTGGGGGGGGAGCACAATGCTCTCAATCACTGGTTTGCGGTACTGGAGCTTCGCCTTCTTCAATCTCGGGCTGCTTGTGACGAAGGGTCAGGGGGAAGGGATACTCGTCCGGATCTTCTTCTTCACTATCATGGCTGTCAGCAACTACGCAGATCTCAAGTCTCCCAAACGGGTACTTACGGCAATTTCCATGCGACATAGTCCTCCGTATTCAGTCCTTCTCGGCCCTCCTGGAGGCTAGCAAAGTCGCCGGGTGTCATCATCCCACTTCGATCCCTGGGTGATCCTGGAACCGAGAATGGCCGAGAGATCTTCACATCGACACCTGGAATGAAGTCCCCTTCTTCATCATCTCCGATGAATGAATCGGGGTAGGCCCGGCGTAAAGCGAGCTGTCGAGCTTTGACATACTCCATTCCCATTCGTTTCCAGTCCAGAAGGTCACTGAGACGCTCCGTGCGGTTTCTCTGATTGATACGCTGACGTCGGCTCTTGCCACAGAAGTCATACATGAACGAGGTGAGCTGGTTCACTGAGTCGTCGACGCCCTTGGTTCGCCTGTCCACAATGTAAATTCCGTAGTCACTGGAATTCTCAATGAGTTCCTCCATGTAGCATCCAAAGCCAGAGAGATTGCTAGTGATACTTGGAACACCCATGACCGTGCATTCTGCTGGCGTATATCCCCACGGCTCGTAGTAGGAAGCAAAAATGCCCAGGTGGCATCCTCGCACAAAGTCATCGTAGTCAAGTGGCAAGACAGGGTTGGCCGAGTTGAGGAATTCAGGATGGAAGACAACCTTTACGCGGTCGGAGGGATGGTTGAAAAGCTCGACCCTCCGAATCTGATTCAGGATGGGGTCTTCATGGTCGTTCACCATGTTATGGGTGACAATCGGAGGCAGGCCGTGCCTCTTCATTGCGAAAAGGCGACGTCGTAGGAGAATTCTGTCTTGGCTAGAAATCAATTCCTTCTCGTCAGGCATCGGGTCACCCTCATGCCACTTGAGTGATCGTTCAAAGATACGCCGTCCAATGCTTTGCTCAATGACATGGGTGGTATCCCTGAGTGACTTAATCACAGCCTGGCCTTTCAGAGCTTCAACAGTCAACGAGGTAGTCTGTGCTGGCATGATGATGAAAGCCACTACCGTCATCTTGCTCCCGGCATCCTTTAGACGATGGTTGAGTCGGGCAAGAGATTCAACGAACATGTCAACTCCCTTGTTCCTGAACTCGTATCGACCGGCGGTGAACACGTAAAGAGTGTTATCGGGCTCGAAGTCGTAGTGTCCGTAAAAATGCCCCCGCACGAAGTCATGGATTTTTTCCTTGGCCTGTTGATGGAGGTTTTGAAACTCATGCACTGCTGAGAACTTGGTCACGTTCAATCCATTTGGCAGAACCCCGTCAGGTTTACGCTTGAGAAGGTGTTCAGACTCGTAGGCAGTAATGTGGGAAACCGTAGTGAAGACGTCACAGGAGTGGGCGGCAGCCCTTTCAATACAGTATCGATGGTAGATGCCGCGCTTTCCAGCCTCGGCATCGACATCAAACCATTGAAGGTTGTTGTAGAAATCCACGGATCCGGCACAAAGATATCGTCCCAGCAAAGTTGCATGAGTAGTGAAGATGGTGGTCACATCGATCTTGCGCCTTTTGGTCAGTGGCAGCGCAACACCTGCCAGCCACTCGTGGAAGTGGGCAATCACGGCCTTGGACTTTTCGTGGCAGACGAACTATCTCGGGAGTTAATAGCCATCCGAAACAAACGAGATGCAGCTCTGCTGGAGGAACGGGAACACTTACCTCTCCAAGAAACCAAGCGACCAAGTATCCGAAAATAATGGTCTCGTTTGTCTCCTCGTCACCCGGAGGGGAGGGGATGCTGGCGACGTTCCAAAGGTCCGCCTTCCATTCATCCATGTACCCGGTCACTGTTTTGGTGTCGATGAGGATCACCCGGGGCGCGCCCTCAATCAGCCATCGGCCGTATATGATACCAATTCCGCGCTCCTTCATGGACGCCATTGTGAGCGCGATTGCTGGTGAGGTGGGCTCCATCTCTTCAACCTCGACCGCGGCCTACTGCAAGTTTAGAATCATGCCATCAATTGCTGGTTTTCTTTTAAATTTCCAAATCGTACCGATTGGTGGTTCAGAGGCCCGATGAGGGTATATCTGTCGCCATATTCGGCAGTCGTCACAGGAGCCTTGGATTTAAGGACGGAGTAAATGCCGCCGACTGAGGAAGGCTTGTTAGAGAATCGTGTCAAAGCGAGCGCGCAGCTTGAATACCCGGCTTACCTCTGTGGGCTACCTCGGTCGCGATCTCAAAGAGAAGATGGTTCTTGACATCGCGAGCGGGCTCACCGTCTTGAGCCATTGTGTCTAGGCTAAGCGAGACAGCTGTGTTGGGAGCGGAGTGCTAGAGGAGAACTAAATTTTCAACGGGCGCACAGGCTTGCGGGAGTGCTCGCGAAGAGTGCAGAGTGAAGGAGAAGCTGCAGAAGAAATCAGCGCGTCGGGTGAGGTGCTTTGTGACGTAGAATCTGGTCAGGCAAGCCCGGGGTATGGGATGGCGCTGTTCAGCTCCCCGTCCAATCGCCGATCTTCGCTGCGCGGGACCGTTTGCCTTGGCTGTGGTGCTTTGCGCCTGCCTCTGGCGCTGGTCGCGGTAGGAGTCTGAAATGGCACCACAACGAAGCGCGATCTCGGCTGCCCCTGGGCAAGAGAAGACAGAAGATTCCGTTGGATGGAAGGATAACAATTCCACAAGGCGGAAAGAGGTGCGATGATGAGAGCTCGATGTTGGGTGTATGGAACAGTTCCTGATGGTCGCTCGGGTTGGCCTGCAGCTACCTGCATTCAGTGGACCGTGCCCCAAGAAAAAACAACACTAATCGCCAGTAGGAGATGTTAGTGCTAGCAAAGAACGGTCTAGGTACCTTGCTCAGGCTAAATTTGCTGATGCTGGTTGGTGCTGGCTGGGCCCGATCCTTATATCGTCATGGCAATGTTAGTCAAGGGATGATGCTAGTAATCGATATGACATATGATGAATGAACTAGTGTCACAGCTATCGGTGGTCGGACCTGGGCCAGGGCAGGTTCAGGCGCATGTCGCTTGCTCCCTCCCAACCTGCTCCGTAAATAAGGGCAATGTAGCATTCGTATGCAGGCAATCTCTCAGCGTTGCCAATTCTCGGCCTCTGGAAACCGTCGGCTGCTCTGATTTACGCTGCCTTGGTCCTGCACCACGCTCAACGACGCAATGGTGTAGCATCATACATGTTCGTTGGGTGGAGAGCCCCCACTATACCGCCCATGCATAGAGCTAGTTCTGGCGAGATTCACCGCGAACAGGTTCCAGATATTTGGCGCCTTGGACTTGCCAGGTCCTGTGCTAACAGCCGAGGGAGCGTTGGGGGTCACACGCCTACAGCAACCTCCGCATCTACTCCGAGTTGGTGTATACGAATGGCGATTATGACATTGCCATTGTGGGGTCAAGTGATACTGATCAAAGCCATACAATGCGGGGAGTGTCTCCTCACTTGGTCATTGGACAGCCACAAGACTCGTCAGGCAACCCACGTGATGCTCAATATGCCCAGTGGAAAAGAGAGGATACAAGCGATACGAAAAAGAGAAGAGCCTGCATCCAGCTATCCCCAGACGATTCCTCCGAAGAAAGGGGGGCGGAGGGGCAACGTCGGCCTGCCCGACTACAGTCCTTGACGTCCAGAACATGTTGGATGCACCCTCGCCCCGTTGGCCGCTACCCTCGAGTACGAGCAGTAATTAAACTCAATTTTGTGATCATTTCCCCTTCCCTTGAAATTGGGTAGCAGTTTGGCCAAAGAAGCTCTCAGCTCATAACTGGCTGATAAATGTAACTGATGTCTATTTTTTACGAACCTTAATCCAGGTACTCGTGTGTCAGCCATTCCAGTCCCAAGACACGTCTCTATTCTATAACTTAATCAAATGTCTTATCTATATTTTCAGAGGGAAGTAAGTGGGTGGTATTGAAATTGAGACACCCAGACATTAAGCTGCTTATTTTTGAGTCTGTGACCGGTATTGCCGGATTATTGAGTGCTAATAATATGTACTTGAGAGATAATACAGCATACCTTACCTATGTTGTTACTTTTCTATTCACCGTACAAAGTAGTTTGTTCATGACCACTCTTCCATTTTTTGTATGTCTCCTGTCACCCACTTGGAAGATCATCCGGTATTGACCTAATGATAGAGAGGGAGACAAATCCATCAACGATTCATAGATCTTGATCTGAATCAGATGGGCTCAGCCTTGTCTCCAGATCTCATGCGCTGATTGGCTGCTGAATGCCCAACTTCCCCGCTGTGGGTCTCTAATGCAAGGCTGACAGACTCAAGGAAAAAAAATTTGGGACAAGGTGATGGGTGCCCATGACTTATCGCTTCGCAACCGCCTAAGCCAGCATATCCTCCTCTGTGGTGTGCGACAGATTCTTAAAACCCCTTGGTTCCTACAGAACATTGTCGCATCCAATTTCTCCATTGATTTCGCAATTTTCGGCTTGCATCATAGCTATGGAGATCGACACCTCACCCGCGCAGGTGAAGGTCATCTTCACCACCACTGAACCAGATTTGCAACTTCCAGAGTCTGGGCAGCAATTGCTTGTTCCCGGAGGTGATTAACCTATGGAAACTTGATGAAAAGATTTAGGGTCTAACTCTTCACAGATATCAAGCGCTATGGCCTCTCACGCATTCTCAACTCCGAGTCGATGCTCAACACTAGCTCTCCCATCCCTCTAGATTTTCTCGCAAACGGAACCTTCCTCCGCACCAGCATTGAAGAATATCTCTCCACCAATGGACTGTCCTCAGAATCGACCCTTACTCTGCAGTACGTGCGCAGTTTGATCCCTCCCGTCTACGAGGCGAGCTTCGAACATGACGACTGGGTTGGCGACGTCGATGTGCTTTCTTCTACATCACCTGCTGGTCTGGGTGCCTCCGTCAACGACAGGATTGCAAGCGCTTCATACGATGGCTTGGTGAGGGTATGGAACCCCTCCGGCGAGACAGTCGCCACGTCTGCAGCTGGTCGTGGCGGCGGACACACTCTTCGTCTCGACGCCGTCAAGTGGCTTTCGCCAAAGCAGATCGCCTCCGCCGGCCTAGACCGCAAGGTTGTCATCTGGGACTACACCGAGTCGAGCGATGGATTCTCGGGATCTCTGAAGCCAAACATGGAACTCTGGGGACACGAGAAGGCCATCAACTCACTCGCGGTAAACGGCCCTGCTGGCCGAATCCTCACCGCTTCATCAGATGGACGCATTGGCTTGTGGTCATCCTCCAAGAAGACGGCTCCTCAGGCCGACCCTGAAACCTTGCCGTCGGCTCATAGCAGCAAGAAGACGAAGCTCTCCAGCGCCGCAAACACCGCACAGCGTGGCCCGCTGGCCATGATCGCGGCGCACGACGAGCCAGTCACGGCGGCCGTCTTCCATCCCAACGACAACACGGTGGCTTACAGTGCCTCCAAGGACCACACGGTTAAGACGATTGACTTGACCACTTCGCGCGAAGTGTCTCGGCTGACCACATTGCACCCCATCCTCTCTGCTATTGCCCTACCCGGTTCCTTGATCGCCGCTGGTTCATCAGCCAGGCACATCACGCTGCTGGACCCCAGGGAGTCTGCCAAGTCGACAGTTGTGATGACCCTCAGGGGCCACGTCAACATGGTCTCGTCCCTGGCACCATCTCCCGATAATGAGTACTCGCTAGTATCAGGTTCATACGACAGCACCTGTCGCGTATGGGATCTCAGAAGCGTGCACCACGGTCTGGAGGAAGGTGGCGGTAGTGTAAGCGAGCCAGTTTACACCATCGGCCGAGAGTGGCTTAAAGAGAAGAAACTCCCTGCTGCTGGCGATGGTGCCAAGGTACTGGGTGTTGCTTGGGACGCCACATGGGGCATTGTCAGTGGTGGCGAGGATAAAAAGGTACAGATCAACAGAGGGAGAGGTTTATTTGCTTCTTAGAGGGTAGATATTTGAGAGAAAAAGATCACATCATGTATGATGAAATCCATGCTAGACGGCGCTAAAGGGTATCGCTTTTCTATATATAAGAAATGACAGCAGTTTCAATGTAAATGCTTTCTCATCTTTCCAAAAGTTTTCCGAGCCATTAATTGGATTGTGCAATCTTGCAGGCATCGACAACCCTGCGATACTTGGTCAACCCTAAAACAGCAGGAGGAAGTGTAGAGATAATCTCTTCCCTCATTCTCTCCGTACTGAATGGAAGTCTTTCAGTGGCAACAGCGCCTAGAATGTATCCTGTTACGGTGTTGAGCTTGAGTGGAGGGTCTCTCATTATCTGTGCAATCTTCTCCGGGTTCAAGCTTTCATTGTCATACCAGATGTAGTATGCTCGAAGAAAGGATGGACCAACTTGAACTGCTGTACGCTTGGAACGACGATACTGGTTCAATCGTAATTCAGCTGCCTGTATTCGAGAATCAATCCTGCTCACTGGGGGAGAGCGTTTCTGTGTTGGAGGCGCTAGGTTAGTCTGAACCGAAGCAGCATTGGCTCCAACAGACTTGGGTACGGGTTCCTCTTCCAAGTTCTGGGCGGCTTCCCCAGCAAGAGAACGTTCTTCGTCCTCTTGGCCCAGGTCGGCCGGTTCAGAAGTGGCCGGAGTCGCTTTTTCTTCCGACTCCACCTCACCAGAGGTTGATGCATTCACCACTTCTTCCTGCTCAAGCTCGTCCACTTTCATTGCAAGCTGCAAAGGTAGTTCTAATTCAGCATGGTGTGGGCGAGGGGGAATTGGGTCAAGTTGCAGTCTCTGCTCTTCCATAACGTGGTATAATTGGACCGCGGCGTAGGCGTCCGAAGCCGCATCTGCTACTTATTAGCCAAGATGGAACAGACCGAGCTTGCCATATCAGACGGAGTGTACCTACACTTTATCTGGCGCTCTTTTAGAGCGACGCTCCAGTCACTGGATCGCACCGTGTCACCTTTGAAGATTGGTAGGTGTAAAAACTCGTCCACCTGAGTTGCCATGCTCACAACGGTCTTATTTAGCTTTGGGGGATGCAGCTCTTGCGAATACTTGACCACTTTATAGAGATGGCTGAGCTCGAAGATCCCCCGAGTTTCTACTCCGAGGAACTTTTTCAGCCTTGTACAATCACCTCGAATATTGACGCCAGCTTTGCTGACATTCGGATCCCCCATGATTTTTCGAAACGTCGGTGCAACAAAATCATCCTTCGGAAACAAGGCGATATGGAAAAGCCCGATATGACTCTCGCTTGCAAGCTGTATTAGGGCAACATTGCTGCGTACCCCTGCTGTTTTGGTTGCCCACGCTTGCCACTCCATATCAAACCCCAATAAACTCTCGCCTAGAAAATAGCTCTGACACGTGGTTTCCATAGTTTGTTTTGACCGACAGTAATGAACCTTGACGTTTACCTTGGTCCCGCCATCATTGGTTCCGTCATTCTTGGTACCGTCACTCTTGATACCGTCATCCTTGATCATGTTGTACATCGTGTGGGACCAGAACGACTCCGGTGACCCTGCTTTGGCATCTCGGGCTTTGTAGAAGAGATCTGGGGAGATCTTATACGGGAGTGAAGTCGAAGGAGGACCAAATATCTTGGCGAGAGATGCATCCTCGACAGCTTCGGGCTCGCCATCAACGACAGGAAGCGGACTATGTGCATCATGCTCGATCGGTTCTAAACTCAGGAGCGGGCTGGCGATTTCCGGCCCGACCGCAGAATCGGGGGTTTTGTCGTGCTTATGATTGTCTTCAAACTTTGTGACCAAGTCTTCGTCGTCAATGGTCAGGTTCTCGACGTAGCGGGATACATTGAGTATTGGGTACAGCGGGGCCTTAGTTTCAGGACCGGAGGAGAAGCGAATGCCAACACTTGGGTTCCATAATTGACGGTTCATTTTATAACCAAGGGCTCGGTTCAAAGATTTCCTATATTTGGGAGTTAGAGATACAGAAGCGGGTTTATGAGATGATGCGCGCACCACGACACGGTCAAGAAAGGTTTCAAGCATCGGCGAGAGTAGCAACGTGTAAGCGCCAAACCTACTGTAAGTAGTGTGAGGAACGTGAGAGCGATGAAGACCGCATTATCGGAGCACCCAATCCACCGTAGCCAATAGACATGGTCGGGTGCGAAAGCAGCTCCCACCGTCCTGCAGGCAACCATTCGCGGATGAAGAGGGGCTGTCCCTCATGAATAACAAGCGATTCCTACCGTGATTGGGGCCGATCGTGCTTAGTCATTGTCGCGGGCGCACGTGCTGTCGTGTTAAGTGATGGTGGGTCGAACGGCGCTGAGCAGGCTTCTCCCACAGAGGGGCAGCATTGAAATATACTGGATAGTGAGACGCCTGAGTCAAGGCCATTCAACATCACCGTCACGGCTTAACATTGAACCTTTCCAGAACTCAAACACCAAGGTACTTGGAGGGATTAAGCCAGTCGGTCGAATCAGGGCTATTCCACATCATGGCGTCTCAGTTGCTACCCCTCGGTGAGTTTGCTCCCTTGACCTCATTTAGCTTCTTCCAATCAGTAAGACGCAATCGTTAACATGTGAATAGAGCTTATTGACAAATGTGTCGGGTCAAGGATTTGGGTCATCATGAAGGGCGACAAAGGTCCGAGCTATTCTCATGGATATCACGTGCAGTACTGACATAAGATTACAGAATTCAGCGGTACTCTCCTTGGGTTCGACGACTACGTCAGTATGTGCTACCCATTTCTTCCAGCTCATGAGTGCAATTCTAACATGGCATCAAGACATGGTTTTGGAGGACGTGACAGAGTTGTAAGAGGCCACTTCTTGCACTGTAGGTATCCTACGATTTGATTCTAACAATTCACTCAGTGACTACTCGGGCAATCACACCAAGCTCCCCAAGATTCTCTTAAACGGAAACAATATCTGCATGGTAATATCTATCCAGCTATCCGTGATGGATTTGCCCTGGCTAACCTGTTTTTATAGCTGATTCCCGGAGGCGAAGGTCCTGAGGGAGCAGCATGATGGATTAATTTGCATTTTGTGCTGGAAGCGGTCCCCAAAATATGAATCCTATCATAAAAAAAATACAAAAAGGAGCTTCAATATCCAATCACTCACTGCTGTCCAAACATCCCGTACGTTCTGGCCAGTCTCGCTTTTGAACATGACGCACCATTTGCCCACTGGCCCGGAAAGAATGTCACGAAGCAGACATCAATCTGCTTGGACGTTGATCTGCTTGCATAGGTTTGAACACGAATGTGAGGTTCCAAGGATAGCTTCATATTATCCATAGCCTAAATTACTTAACGCCGATAAGTGGGACATTTTGGTGCTCCTGCAACGCTTTACTGCCCGTTGGCCTGCATGTTCCCCTGCTCTCCTGTGTTGGTGATACGTCTCAACTCCCACTCTCGCGTGAACTCTTGATGCAACATCTCGAGTTGGTTGATGAGCTTTTCACAGACTGATGTGAATACGTCACGTGGTGAAACTGTTCCATCCGTTTGCACTCGTATGAAGAGCTCCGGAACGTTGGGGTGCGCGACTACACATGTGAGTGGCGGAAATGGGGAATGATCAGTTTGGGGATAACTCACTTTTGTAACCAGCCATCATTACATTAGGGTGAGCCTTAAGATGCTCAGAGAGGAGGTTTCCTAGGGTGTGGTCCTCTTTCTTGAGAACAAAATCGGACGTGTTGGCCATCCCTAGACAGACAGTCAATACTATAAAGCACATGGGAGTTGCAGAGGAATGTTTTACCTGAATACACATTTTCCTCAATCTTTTTCTCGCCTTCACCGAGCAAGAACAGCTCGAATCTAAGGACTGGTTAGCAATGTTCAAGTAAAGGTTAGGTGGCAAGTCCAACGGGTCATCTTGAATATTGTGGTGCCTCTGATTGCAGCCCGCCATGTTACCAGTTTAAGATAAAGATGTGTAGGTAGGTTGAGGAAAGGGAACAGTATTTTGGTGATTACAGGTACTGAATAAGATGGCCGTATGGCTTCTCTGAAATGGAAACGATGGAGGGAATAGGTTTGGGGGTGAGAGTTGGTTGAGACCAATCTGATATTCTCCGCCGCTTGGCGTCACACATGAGAGAATGTTGGTCTCATGGTTAATGAAATCAGATTCACCTCAGCCAAAGCACTCTGGCTGAACAAATAAAACGACTTACCGATCAGGCGCGTTCATGATTGCAACTGGGGGAAAGAGGCTGACGTGGGCGAGTGAAGGTGGCAAGAACGAGCAACGCTGAAATGTTTGACAAGCAAGAAAGAATGATAGAGCCCCCAGGAAGTACTAAGATGAAAATAAATAGGTAGCTTCGAACCGAGGAGAGGCGATGAATATCGGAGAAGGAAGTCGCCTTTGGTGGATCCTCAGACAAAAGAATCAATGAACAAGGCTCACCACCAACTTGACAAGCGTCGCAGTGCAGGTCGGCCTTCGCGCCAGAATTAAGGGTGGCCCCTGCAGTCTAGGTTCAGCATTGGGCGAGCGAAAAAAACCTAGCGGTCGGCGCTCCACAAGTACCATCCTATCATTCCGGGCAGCAGGGGGCATATATTTCTGATAGTGAAAAACCTACAACTAATGGCTTACGGAACGAGCGCCCTTCTTCACCTCAAGACAATGTCCTCCCAAAAAGGCTGTGCATGGAAAATCAATGCCGCGAATAGCCCCCCAGCTAATTCGAAGCGCTTTAAGTCATTCGCCCGAACTTGCCGCTCTACTACCAGCATGCCGGGATTTAAACTCAGCGTTCAACGAGCTTCGATGGATTCGCGAGCACGTCGACAAAACAGTCGGGTTCAATCGCAAAAGACACCTTGAGAAACTTTGCCAGAAGAGGGGACGAGGTGTTCCGCTTCAATATCTACTTGGCACGCAGCCGTTTGGCTCCCTGAATATCAAATGTAAACCAGGAGTTCTGATACCTCGCCCAGAGACTGAGGCGTACGTATGCTATCTCCAAGATCTTCTGGAGTCGGGGAACTTGCTAGGACAAAAGCTCTCCGAGCTGGGCAATCTCCGCATCATCGACTTCTGCACCGGGACTGGATGTATTCCCTTGCATTTATTTTCCACTCTTCAACGATCAGTTCGATCCCTTGAAGTATGCGGCGTAGACATATCACTGGTAGCTCTCGAGCTTGCCAAGGAGAATGCGAAGTACAATGTGGCACAGGGATACATGGCTTCATCGAATGACAAGCAAGCGCTATCTTTTCAGAAAGCCGACATATTTCGCGACACGGATATACAACAGTTCACTGGACTGCCGTGGGATATCATGATCTCTAACCCTCCGTATATTTCTAGAAACGTCTGGAATTACGGCCGAGGACAAATGGGGTACTCTACACGGAAGTATGAGCCCCGTCTTGCGTTGGTCCCAGAAGATGATATGCCTCCTGCTCCTGCCGGGTTACTACCTGAAGACATTTTTTACGCAAGACTACTGGATCTTGCCCAAACACTCTGCCCAAAAATCCTTCTTATGGAAGTGGGAGATGAGAAACAAGCCCGACGAATCGTGCAATACTGTTCAAGGCATACATTTTGTACGCAGGCTCAGTTGACGGTATGGCGAGATTGGCCGGACGTGGCTCCTGGGTCTGACAAGAACACCGAGGACTCTGACTTCACAATATGTACAGATGACGGGAAACGAATCACAGTACCCGTTAAAGGCAGTGGAAATATTCGGTCCATTGTAATAACAACAATTATATAATACCTATGCCCGCCTCTTCTGGATCGGTCCCCAAAGCCAGCCAGAAACTCCCCCAAATCTTCAGACCTTAATTGTATAGAAATAATCAGAATAATGCCTCTCACCTTCATTCAAAGTACTGGTCGGTTTATATCATCCGGGAATATCTAAGTTGCGGAGTTACACATCTAAGAGTTGTAGTCAAAGTCCGAGGTCCGAATGGTGCTGAACAAGCAGGTCCCGCCTAGACCACGTGACACTGAGATTTTCCACTCCAACGTCAAGCTTCGTTCCACCACTAGAGCATTCTACATGGTGTCATTCACTACGTGCATTGGCGTCGCAATTCCCTCTCTCAACCTTCTGATGCTCTGCACCTAAAAAATTTCATGCGCAGGGTGTCAACTCTTTCGATAATACCTCATGACTGAGGTGGGTGCCAACGATTCGATTCTCCCTACCTCCGACCGATCCGCCATTCACCTATAGCACCGCCGCCCACCATGTCCAGATACCTCCGCCAATCCAGCCAGTTGGCTCGGCTGTCCCGCCTGTCCCAGACTGCTCGAATTAGCAGGACATTGCGCCCATCAATTGTCTCGCGGTCGACCCCATTCGGAACGCTACCAGTGCGCGCAGATGTTCCGTGGCGACAGTATTCGACAAACTCGCCGAAACCTAACGATCCCAAGAACAGCGAAAACCAGAACTCCCCAGAAGACCAAAAACAAAATGCGGCGCCGAAGCCCACGATGCGCCTTCCGGAAGGGTGGATTCACCTATCAAAGTCGGAATTGGCTCAACTCGATGTCTTTGTTCAACGGCTTCCTGAGGCGCAAAAGTCAAGTATCGAGGGTGTTATAGAGGCGCTTCAGCATACCGGAACACCCATGGAAACACGCGAACTTCTAATTAAAATGAGAGAAGGCTCCGGTCGGCTCTCTATCATCGACAAGGGCCGACTACTAAGAACCGTTGTCGTCACTGCCTCCCGAGTAGCCGAGTGGCAAAGCCTTCAAGAGAACCAAGGGATGTTTAGGCCGAACTCGGATCTTGATCAGCACCAGAGGAGTGAAAAGGAACAGTCTTCGAAGAATCAGGACTCAGAACAAGGCAGCGAGACCGAAGCTGGAAAGCAATCCCAAACTTCGCAACAACAATCAAACACAACTAGACCAGGCCAGTCAAACCCTCAACCGTCGGGCGATGGTAAAGGTGGTGGAGGTGGTGGTGGAGGCGGTGGAATACAGTGGAATGAAGCCGTGCAATCAACCGTGTTGATTCTATTGACTTTGTTCCTATGGGACTACTTCACCTCTGCTCCTGATAAGGAAATCACATGGCAAGAAATGAGGACGGCCTTCTTGGACAAGGGACTTATTCAGAAATTCGTCGTCGTTAATGGTTCAAAGGTCCGCGTGGAGCTGCACCCTGAGGCACAGGAAGCAAATGGTGGTCGACATTACGCCGCCTCAATCGGTTCAGTTGAAAGTTTCGAAAGAAATCTCGACCAGGCTCAGGCGGAACTTGGTATTCCCTCGTCCCAAAGGATACCAGTGAGCTATGAATCCGGTGGCAGCACATTGGGCAATCTCTTCCTGGCCTTTGGGCCAACTCTCCTGTTCATTGGTTTGATCATCTACACTCAGCGATCAATGGGTGGACGAGCTGGTGGCAGCGGTGGCGTCTTCAGCTTTGGCAAGAGCAAGGCCAAGAAATTCAATGCAGAGAGCGATGTAAAGGTCAAATTCGCAGACGTCGCAGGATTGGAAGAAGCCAAGGTTGAAATCATGGAATTCGTGAGTTTCCTCAAGCAGCCAGAGAAATTCGAGAAGCTAGGTGCCAAGATTCCTCGTGGTGCCATCCTGGCCGGCCCTCCTGGAACCGGTAAGACTCTTCTTGCCAAAGCTACTGCGGGAGAGTCAGGCGTGCCCTTCTTCAGCGTCAGCGGTTCCGAATTTGTGGAAATGTTTGTTGGTGTCGGTCCATCTCGTGTACGAGACCTCTTCGCGGAGGGTAGGAAAAACGCTCCATGCATTATCTTCATCGATGAAATCGATGCCATTGGACGCGCGAGACAGGAGAGCGGTCGTGGCTTCGGGGGCAACGATGAACGAGAAGCTACACTCAACCAGATTCTCACAGAAATGGATGGCTTCAATACTCGGGAGCAAGTTGTGGTTCTGGCTGGTACCAACCGTGCCGACGTCTTGGACAAGGCGCTGATGCGTCCGGGTCGTTTTGACAGACATATTTACATTGACCGCCCTACAATGAAGGGCCGAAAGGAAATATTCGAGGTATACCTGAAGAAGATTGTTACGAACGAAGATCACGAGCAACTTGTCGGTCGCCTCGCTACTCTAACCCCTGGATTCTCCGGAGCCGACATCTCGAACGTCGTCAACGAAGCTGCCCTAATTGGTAAGTGACACTTTTTTTTTTTTTTTTTTTTGCTCTTCGCCCTGGCCTTGACAATAATCATCATATGTGCGAGATCTAACATTTTCTAGCCGCTCGAGCCAACGCCGACGAGGTCAAGATGAAGCACTTTGAGCAAGCAATCGAGCGTGTCATCGGTGGCCTGGAACGCAAGTCACTCGTCCTGAAGCCTGAGGAGAAGAAGACTGTGGCTTACCACGAAGCTGGCCACGCCATTTGCGGATGGTTCTTGGAACATGCCGACCCTCTCCTTAAGGTGTCGATTATTCCACGTGGCCAAGGAGCCCTTGGCTATGCTCAGTACCTACCCCAGGATGCTTATCTTATGAATGTCAACCAACTCATGGACCGCATGGCCATGACGATGGGTGGCCGAGTCTCAGAGGAGCTTCACTTCCCCACAGTAACTACTGGCGCAAGCGATGACTTCAAGAAGGTGTCCCAGATGGCGCGAAACATGGTTACGCAGTGGGGAATGTCGGAGAAGGTTGGGCCAGTCCATTTCGAGAACGATCCCAACCGCATGGTCAAGCCATTCGCCGAGTCCACTGCCCAGCAAATAGACCAAGAAGTCCATCGCATTGTCGAGGAGGCCTACAAGCGGTGCCGTGATCTGCTCACGGAGAAGAAGAAGGAGGTCGGGCTGATCGCAGAAGAGCTCTTGAAGAAGGAAGTGTTGGTCCGGGACGACATGGTACGGATCCTGGGCAAGCGACCTTGGGGAGAGTATGAAGACTTCGAGAAGTACTTTAGCGGCGGGCCAGACAGTCCCCCACCACCTCCTCCTCGGGGCGAGGAAACAGACACACCTCAGGAGCCTCCTACTCCAGCACCAGCTACCCAGCAGCTCTCATCAGACGAAGTTGCAAGCAGGTGACGAGGTATACTCGGAGGCACGGAGGCAACAAGGATCCTCTGAGGACCTAACTTCACAAAAGACATGGGCCCATAATTTTTATACATGGGGCACCTGTACTCTCAACTCTGCTGACGAACGGGACGGTTCCCTTTTGTATACCGCCCTCTTTGTCCTTGACTTGTTAGGGCATGAGAGGGAACCTCCGTTGGGCTGTGCTGTACTGTATTGTAATATAGGACTAGAACTGTAGACTTTCATGTCAGTAACAAAACAGAACTCTTGGAAATATACAAGCTTACATTTTGTTCATACGCTCGGAAGTCATCACCGAAGAAGACTACCTAGTCAGAGTAACTTCCCCGATCCTTGTATGCGCCGGGGGCTGAGTCGCATTGGTGGGGGAGCTCCTGTGTTGAAGGAACGGGAGCCCATCGCTATGAGGTAATAGATTCTCTATCCATTCTATTCTATGACAGTTGTTTTTGTGTATTATCCCTTCGCAAACCATAGATGCGATGATGATAATGGAGAGTCTTGATTGGCCAGAAAAGTTCCAGACCTACAAAATGGGACTACATGTGAGGATATGATAATTCCCCACTGGGCCGGGCTCCTCTTTATTTACACGGGTGATTGTGTTGTCCAAAGAAAGAAAAAAGGCCGGAAATGGCGACAGTAGCACAACACGGACATAGGAAGCGACCCGACGCAGTGGCCACAGCGCTGGGTTTGCTCTACCACTGAGGCGGAAATAAGGGCGCTCCGGATGTTACTGTTTAGTGGGTGATGTGATAGGCTGGCGAGGGTCCTGCTACCTTATTTCACTAATAACCCACCCTAATAAAATCACATGGAAGGAACGAACAGGTGCTGACATACCATTGAACCTGACTAGAGTCGTCACTGTGTCATGCTCCTGCTCCATGTCCAAACATTAATGGAAGGTACGTACCTGGACCGGGAACTTGATCCAAACTTCTTATTGGCAGATTGTCAGTCTGCCAACTCTCTTGCAAGCATCTCGGCGCGATATATATCATTTTTCTCCATCTTCTCCTTGGGCAGCAGCTCAGTTGCTTGTGGACGCTTTGTTCGGTCAGGCAAAATCCAGGCGGGACTTGATTGGCGTTGATTGATTCCTGCTTCACGCATGTTCCCTCACATCATCTCATGCCACCTCGCCACCCATTCATCCAGAGTCGTATCCCATATGGACTCCGGTTCCCTGTTGTCGATCCGAATTCTGTGTTTCCTTTACTGCATAAATTTGGAGACTACGCTTCCCTTTCTTGGACATATGCTCTTCTCAAAACACATAAGCTCAGCATTGAGACCGCATGGACGCGAACAGAAGCCCAACGTTAATTTTCCCTTTATTTCTATTCAGTTTTCCCGTGATTCTAGCCCGGGCTCACCTTATTTATAACGTATCATAAGGTGGTGTTATCGAGAAACAACAACTGTCGTCCATCATGATCCTAAATACCACAACGCCTCGAGGCCACCGTTCCGAGACTCTACCACGGCAAGATACTGAAGCTCAGTTGCCGCCGGAGGAACATAGAAGCAATCTTTCAGCAGTCACTACATCCTCCCAACATGGTTCGTGGTGGAAAATCCATCCCTTTCGGGGGATGGTCAATGATCTTAAACGCAGAGCGCCATTCTTTTTGAGCGACTGGACAGACGCTTGGGACTACCGTGTTATTCCAGCGACAGTTTATATGTATTTTGCAAAGTATATGGCTCCCTTCTTCTGACTTTTTATCCCGTGGGAGAAAGCCAGCCCCTATATGGGTGGATTGGGTGGATTCGAGTAATGTGCTAACTCGAGAATTCTCCTTATTATAGTATCCTTCCGGCCCTTGCCTTTTCTTTGGATATGTTCCAAAATACTGGCACTGAATATGGTGTCAACGAAGTCTTGCTGGCGTCCGTGCTTGGATCTGTGGTCTTTTCATTCTTCGCTGCACAACCACTTGTCATCGTGGGAGTTACTGGTGAGTAGCAATCGCCCTGATTATACTGCTACTAGAGATTGATACTCATCTCCCAGGTCCCATTACCGTATTTAATTAGTAAGTTCTCTTCAGCCCTCCCCTTTCCACTTCAGCAAACACTGACATGTTTCTATCCAGCACTGTTTACAATATCATGCAACCGACCGGCGTCAACTACATTGGCTTCATGGCCTGGATTGGGATGTAAGGGCATCGTACTCAAGGTGTAACCTTCATAGACTCCAAGATTTGTCTGCTAACATGACATCAAGATGGTCTTTGATACTCCATTGGATTTTGGCTACTACGAACTCATGCAATTGGCTTCGATGGGTCACTCGTTTTCCTTGCGACATCTTCGGCTTTTACGTGGCCTTCATATATCTTCAAAAGGGAGTACAGGTCTTGGAACGCCTAGGAGATGACAGCGCATTCTACCTCTCTATTGTTATCGCATTGCTTGTCTTTATGGTAGCGTACCTATGTGGCGCCTTAGGAAACAGCAGTCTTTTCCAACATTGGATCCGCGTTTTCTTAAAAGATTATGGCACCCCGCTCACCATCGTCTTTTTCACTGGGTTTGTTCATATTGGTCGGATGGCCAAGGTTCACCTCGAGGTTCTCCCAACAAATATCGCTTTCATGCCTACCAATAGCAGTAGAAGCTGGCTTGTCAACTTTTGGGATATGAGCGTCGGTGACATCTTTCTCGCCTTACCCTTTGCTGTCCTATTGACGATCTTGTTTTGGTTCGATCATAACGGTTAGTCTTCCAACCCCGCCTAGTTCATGCCGTATAGATATCTTTGACTAACATTTGATAAACAGTCTCGTCTCTGATTGCCCAGGGAAGTGAGTTTCCATTGCGCAAGCCTGCTGGCTTCCACTGGGATTTATTTCTCCTCGGACTGACTACCGGTGTAGCCGGTATTCTTGGACTGCCGTTTCCAAATGGCCTCATTCCCCAAGCCCCCTTCCACACTGAGTCATTGTGCGTCACCAAACCTGTCAGGAAGGTTGACGAGAAAGGCGAAGACAAAGGCGGATACTATTTCGAAGCAACCCATGTAGTGGAACAGCGAGTCTCTAATCTCGCCCAGGGCCTTCTGACACTTGGTACCATGACCGGCCCTCTCCTTTTCGTTTTGCACCTCATACCTCATGGTGTCCTGGCCGGTCTTTTCTTCGTGATGGGTATCCAAGCCCTGGAGGGGAATGGAATCACTGCCAAGATCGTTTTTCTGGCCCGGGACAAAGCCCTAACGCCGGCCACCGCCGAACTGAAAACCATCAAACGCCGTGCTGCTGTCTGGATTTTTGTTGGCATCGAGTTGTTCGGCTTTGCTGCTACTTTCGCCATCACACAAACAATCGCCGCCGTCGGCTTTCCCGTTTTCATCTTCCTCCTCATCCCCATCCGTACGTTCCTCCTTCCTCGTATCCTCCGACCAGAGGAACTTGCCATTCTCGACGCTCCCACCGCTTCACCATTTACAATGGAAGGCATCGGCGGGGCTTGGGGAGGATCGTGCGCCAGTGTCGATGATCGGCGCGATAGTAATGATACTGCAGCCCCTGTCAGCAGGCAATGTTCGCAGCAGGAGTCTCATCTCCGCCCGGAACTCCACGACAGTGTCTTCGCCAGCCCTGGGGACCCTCGCAAAAGCCAAGAAGACTTTGCGGACTTGAGCCAAGTCCACAGTGGGCACAGTACGGCAACAAGAAGAAAAAGTGTGGATAGGAGAGTGACGGGTTCCTCTCGAGCTGGTCACTCTTAAATCAAAAGTCGTTTTTAAACAAGTTTAAAAGGTACGGAAACTTCAAAAATAGACACAGCCTGGTATTGAGGCTATATAGAGTTTTGGTCTTGGATATAACGCTGCGGCTGTTTTAGATGCTACCCTTTTCTCCGATACCCAATTAGAATTAGCTGAATCAACAAGATATACTGTTTGCATAACAATAAATATCAATCCATACGATTATCATTGGCAGATACCGTCGCCCGCTCCCAAACGCCCTTTGTTCCTTAGGAAATCTCATGAATCTAATCCTCATCATCGCTATCTATGACAAACCCACCCTTGACCCTTGGCCGTCTTGCTACCACGGGTCGTTCCACCTCCTCTTCCCCATCCTCATCCAAGTCTTGGGTTGTTGCTTTTTCAGTTGAGTCTTCCATATCCACATCAACATCGTTATCCGGAGTGTTACTCTCAGCATCAGAGTCCCCGTCTTCGTCCTCGCTCATTCGCCGTCTCTTCCTCCCCTCTTTATCGCCATTGGTCCTGCCGACGGGGGCGTCGTCACCCTCGCTTTCTTCGGCGCTGCTATCACTGTCCAACGCTCTTCTCGCAAAGTCCAGCCCATCGTCTCCTTCCTCGTCGTCATCATCCAGAAGCATCTCGGATTTCCGTTTCTTTTTGCCTTCCGAGGTTGATTTCGGCTTGTCAGAGAAGGAAAGACCAGCAGCAGCCTGCTCCGCGCGAGCAGCAATGGCCCGCTCACGGGCAAAGAACTCCTCATCCTCATCTGAATCGAACTCATCGTCGCCCTCTTTCACATACAGGGCCGACTTGATCTTCCGAGCCTTCTCCTTCTCGCGCTCCCGCCTCTTTCGCGCCTTCTCGTTCAGCTCCTCATCGTCGATCTCCTGATCTTCCGAGTCCTTTTGTTTCCTACGGAGGCGCTTCTTTTTTGGCTTCTTCGGGTCATCGACTGCCTTTCTTGCGGTCGGGCCGCCCATGGGAAATAACATGTCATCATCGATGCCATCATCCTCATCATTCTCGTCATCATCATCATATGCTGCCTTCTTCCGCGGCACGGTCTTGCGCTTGAGCATATTCTCGGCCAGAACCCCTTCGTCAAAGACGGGGGGGCTGAACTCCGCCTGGTTGATGTAATGGAGGGTGTCCTTGAGGGTGTCGGCAGAAACTGAAGGAGGGATGACCCAAGATGAATCAGCCGTCTCCTCGGTTGCCGGTTCGTCGCGCTCGAGACCAGCAACGGTCATCAACAGGCGGAGATGAGAGTTTTTGAATACTGCAGTTTTCCGGGCATCATCATCTGGTTCGACACCTGTAGTATGTTAGCCGGGGCCTGTAATTAGAAAGGCTTGAAAATTTGGAAAACTTACGGATCACAGGTGGCGCATTTGACAGGGCCCCCTGAGTCTCATTCTCATCGTCAAATAGATCATCTTCTGCGGCTCGAGCGTCTTCGGCAGCGGCCCAGGCTCTACGCTCACTCTCGGCGCTGCTAAGAACACCCTTTAACCAAGCAATGTGATCTGCCTGGTTCTTGTCGAGCAGAGTACCGACGACGATGGCGACCTGACGATCCTTTTCCTCTGTATGTTTAAACTCAAGCTCTGCACCTGGCTTTGCCTGGGCTTTCGTTGAGCTGGTTTGTTTTTCATAGCCGAACTCGAGGTAGTATGCGGTGCTCTGGATTTTACTGAAGAGCAGCTCGACAATGAGCTCAGGTCGCTCCTCGATTTTCTTGAAACACTTTCGGAGAATCTGCTTGACAAGCTCCGTCCACTCTTTATATGTGCTTGAGGATTTATCCAGGGGCTCCGGGCCCTTGATCATATTGTAGAGCAGATGAACAATGTCCACGCGGAATAGCATGACACTCATCTCTTGCTTGAAAGCCACGCGGTAAAAGAATCGGTGTGCTCGCTTAAGCTGGGCATCTGTTAAGTCGCGGTAGTATTTAGTGAACCTCACAAATGTGTCGACAACACCTTGTGAGCTGAAGCGGCCACAGAACCGGTGGAAATCGAATTTCCTCTCCTTGATGGTTCGCTCGGCCGCCTTCTGGTCGTCCCCAGATTCGTCGTCGCCCGCATCGCCGTCTCCCCCGCCGGCCTCTCCGTCGGCATCCTGCTTCTTCTGGCGCGTTCTCTTCCGCGAACGGACCTGCATGTCAACATTTTGTTTCGAGTACATCTCCAAGATGCGGAGGAACTGGTGAACAAGCTCGGTGGCTGCATCAAGATAGTCGAACCCTTGGTCTTTGTATGTCCTGATGATGCTGGCGATTGCGTCGTGCGTCGTCTCCTCGTAGAACAGGCGGCTGAGGATATTTTCGGCAATCTCCTCGTCGCCCTCGTGCCCGCTGGTGTACATTTCCTGTACGGTGAGGAGGATCTGCGTGAAGCACCGCATGACGGCGGTGAGCTCATGCCAGTCTTTGTATTCGTAAGATTCGTGGAGACCCTTGTTCAGGGTGATGAACATTTCCTGGTTGAGAACTCCAGCCACCAGGTTGAAACTGGACACTTCCTCCTCCGTGCCCTTGGGGGCGTTCTCCTTCTTCGTCTTCCTCCTCATACGCTCTGCTTCGAGAAACCAGCCGACCAGATAGAAAAACTGGCGCCGGTGATGCTGGAGAACATACGTTGCCTCGCGGTCCAGAGTCCTCCGGATGTGCGAGAACAACGGATTGAAGCCCGAGTCCAGAAACTCTTCGGTGAAGGTGCGGAGCTGACCGTTGGCCCTGGCATTGAGCTTCGGGGGTCGCCCAAACTCCGCGTCCAGCTTGTCCTCCTTCTTCCCGCGGCGCGGCGGCTTGAACGTCTTTGTGCTGTCCATCTTCCGTGTCCGAGCTGCGACGTCGACCAGGGCTTCCTGGCCTGTAACCGTAGTCATCTTGCCATCCTCCCGCTTCACCCAGATCATGGTTCCAAAGCGATTGTGGCGTGTCGGTCGGGTGTAGGATTTGAGCATTGCCTCCTCCCTTTTCATCAATTCCGCCAGCTCGTTGTCCTTGGCTTTGTAGAGCTGTTTCTCGTCCACGAATAAGGTGCTGGTATTGACACGTTTGACCAGGTGGTAGATGATTTCCATCACGGTCGTGTCCTCGGTGCGGAATTCGTCGCCCATGTTGGAGGCCAGGGTGAGGAGGACGTGGAAAATGTCTTGGTATGAGAAGGCGTCGATGGTCACGGATCTCGATATCTGCGACTCCTCGCCGTCGTCCTTGGCCCCAAGAGGCAGGGCGATGGCGGCAACATTGCGGAGGAGGAAGAGCACGAGCTTGATTATACCCTGATCTCGCTGAGTCCTTTCTCCAATGGGAATGGCCATTGCCGGCAACGCCACTCTCACGGCAGCATGGAGGATCCTAGCACCGTCAAAGTTGACGATGGCCCGCTTATAAGCGACTTGGGCAAGCTCAAGCACGGGGATGTGACGATGATGGTTCACAGTCATCCGCTCCTTATCACGCTCCATCGGCCAGGTCAAAGGCACCATAAGCTCGAAGCATGCGAGAGCCATTCTCGACTTGTATTTGCTGTCCATCTCGTTCTCGGGCCAGGCTGCAAGGATCGGGAGGAGGTCGCCCTCGATCAGGTTGGCCTCATAGATGCATCGTGCGACGTCCATCCGGTTCGTCTTCTCGTCGTAGAATCGTATCCATCGTTTCAAATCTCGTAGGACTTCCAGTGCGTCGTCTCCGAGCTGGTATCGGCCATCGTCGTCCTCGGCGCTGATACCTCCGAGCTACCATGTCTCATCAGATACCTATTTGAAGACTGTTCATTGAGGGAGAGAACTTACCGCAGAAACGAGACTGTTGATGTGAGCCCGGACTTCAGGATGGACTACATCCACGGTGCCATCGGGCATCTCCATCCTGATTTCCAAATCAATTACAGACTGCTTGTTATTAGATCGTCATGGGTATCGACAATGGGAGATTATTTTTGGTGGCTTCCTGCTCCCCTCTATTGAGAGGCCAACACGCGTTTGACGCGTTTTGGCAGGACCCGCGTAAATTGGAGCGCGGTCAGAGCCGATAGCTTATCGTGGTCTGCGATAGCGCGATAAGCCGAGGCCAGCCCGTCCCCGGTCCGGGGTAGGCTACGCCCATAGAGCCGAGGTTACCCGCAATTATGTCCGCCTACAACATGCAGCTCTGCCGTCCAGCTTCCTCCCACCTTGCCTTTCCGTTATCACCAACAAGAATAAAATGGCCGTGTCAATGGTTCGACAGCAATTGCCCCGTGCTCTGCGCCATGTGCGCACCTTCAGCACTACCCCGCGACAGCATGCAGCTGAAGTCAAGCGGCTGGGTGTTATCGGCGCAGGACAGATGGTAAGCACTATACAAGCATGTGAAGGGAGACATCGGAAGCTAATTCGGCAAACAAAAGGGTCTGGGCATAGCCCTTGTTGCCGCACAAAGAGCACAGGTCCCAGTATCAATCATTGATGCATCTGAGAAATCATTGGCAAAAGGCATTGCATTTGCAGGTGGGATTAGAGCATCACTTGCTGGCCATGTATAAAGCCTGCTAACCTAGAGCTCCAGAGAAGCTACTGGCCAAGGATGTCTCCAAATCAAGAATCACACAGGACCAGGCTGACCAAGCTCGTTCTCTTCTTACGCCTAGCACTAAGATAGAAGACCTTTCTTCCGTTGATTTTGTGATTGAGGCTATTCCTGAGATTCCGCAGCTCAAGTTTGACATCTTCAAGCAGTTGGCCGAGATATGCCCCAAGCATGCTATCCTGGCCACCAACACCTCATCCATCTCTATTACAAAGATTGCAGCAGCCACCACGTCTGATCCAACTGACACATCAGCCTCGTCTCGAGTTGTGTCCACCCACTTCATGAACCCAGTTCCCATCCAAAAGGGTGTGGAGATCATCAGCGGCCTGCAGACCAGCAAGGAGACTCTGGAAACTGCTGTGGAGTTTTGCAAGAAGATGGGAAAGATCACCTCAGTGTCTGCGGACTCTCCTGGGTTCCTGGCAAACCG